TGGCAGAGTGAATTGTGTCATAGTGCTCTTTTCCTTATAGGTGGTACCCAACTGACCCTACTATACTGTGCAGTCAGCAAAATTAAAAACAAACAACGTGCTTGCACAAAATTAAAAATATAAAATTGCAAACAGTAAGATTTATAATCCGGTATTATTATTTTTATTTCAAAAAAACAGTGCTCAACACAATTCTGCAGAGCATAAACATTATATATTTACTAATTTAAAAATATGGTCCCATCGCTACACAGGAATTACGATGGTTCAGACAGAAACTAAAAACTCCAAATTTAATTATAGAATTAAATTAAGATCCTTAGTACCGTTTCATTTTCAAGTGATTTTTGGAATGCAAAATTCGCTTGAAAATGAAACCGTACTAAGGATTTTACTAGTTCTGTGCTTTCAAATATAATCCAATTTCGTATTATTGACTGTAACCTGGAGAAGCAGTTAAGTGTAAATTAATCTGTCCTAATGAATCCTGTTATATTTTTTCTCTATTTTCAGGGCTCCCCAAAACAACGAGAAAATATATGGTGTACTTTGTGTGCTCTCCTTCAAGTTCTCTGCGGAGACTATGGTCATGTGAGAGTGGAATTTCCTCAACCATTTTCTGCGAAAGTAAGTTCTGTCCCTTTTAATTAAATGAATCTCCTTTTATTCCCCATCTTTAAAACGAAATCACATCACAACAGGCTTATGGTAAAGTTTCTGAATATATAAATAAATTTTATCAAATATCTGCCCTGTTTAAAAGAATAACATATTGGATATTTATCTCTGTTCAATACCTGAAGTAGTTGTTTCTCTAGTACTAGTGATCAGTGAGGCCAGGTGAAAACTGGATGCATGACAGAATTTTCAAGATTGTATTTTTTTGGAAGTGTTCACTTTGACATCAACAGTTCCCAAACTTCATGAATTTAAGTGTTCTACTAGGCTTGCATCTCGGTCACACCCTTTCACTGTCAAAACTGTTAAATGTAGCCGTCTCTTCTACTCCAATAGCTTCATGTCTTTCACCTCTCGCCTGTGGAACTCCCTCTCCTCCTCTTGTTTCCCTATTCAAATTCTTGTTTCACTATTCAAATGTAATGTCAATCGATGTTTCCAGATGCCCTGATCTATCCCCTATCCTTCTCTTCATCCTTTCCTCTATCACTCCTATTTGCTCTAGCTCCAATCCTCTGTAACCTCTTGTGTGCTAGTGGCTTCCCACCTTGTTTGAAATGAAAAAAAAAAAAATGACAAGAAAAGACCTTAATTTCATTCTTCTCCCACTTTTAGAATATTATCCAAAAATACCAGCCTCATGTTCAATCAGAAATGGCCCACGTGGTTTTCACAGCATACATTTCCAAGCCACTGACTATAAAGCCAATGCTGATTTCATGCAGACAGATCCAGCTAAGCTGACTTTAGCATGCCCACAGCATCAAGTTTAACCAGGCCATCAGTGGAGATACCAAGGCATCAACAGGGATGTCTATGGCTAGCAATGAAACGAGCTGCAGAAGTGACTAACACTCAACTACATATTTGTGTATCTAGTGTTATACCCTGAACAAAACTCAGTTTCCCATGACTGATGTACGATACCCTGAGACAAGCAAATGATTTAACTTTGTTAGTCATGTAGAATAAAAACTTTTACTTATTTCAAGCACATCTTATCTACATTTGTTGTTTTAACACTTCCACACTTTTCTTTTTTCTTGTTAATGGTAAGAGTGCCATTACAACTGTTATAAAGTTGATGCAGGTCATTTTTCCTACACTCCCCTGAGTTGTGCACTAAATTGGCTTTTAAATATTTACAAAATTTTAACAGACCACAATATTTAAAATATTTAATTAAAAAATTCAAGAGTTTGATATCAGAAAATGACCCTTGTGTGTATATGTTTGTGTTACAAACACAAATATGTGCCTCCTTCTGATTAAAATTCAGCAGGAAAAAAAAATCTAAACTTAAAAATTATGCAGCCTTTAATATCTTTACCTTATAAGTAAATATGATTTAAGATATTCATTTAAAAAGTATTGGTGTGCTGAAAAGTTCTAAACTCAGCCTAATTCCCAAAATCAAACTTTTTTTTTTTTTTTTTTTTTTTCTTTCAAAAGGGCTTTTTGTTTTGACTGGGACCCTTCAGCTTCCCACCCCTATTTTTACTATTTAAAATACAATTGCAATCTACTTGAAATGTTTAACAGAAAGTATCATTATTTCTAATGTTTATAATATTGCTGTTTAAACCAAATTACCTCCCTTACCAAATGTTTACAAATTGTATTTTTTTTCTCAGGAATCTTTTATTGTTTCTTTATTATAACTTAATCTCACTGCTGTATTATGTATGTGGAAGAAATATTGGTTGGCTGGACTTGAGATGCTATGGTGAAATCTTCAACATAAGTTAGATACAATGCAAAATAAGATTTTAAATCTAGTAACAATACATTTGTCAAAATGCAACAAAGATTGGTGTAATATAATATATTAATGACATTGATAATAGTTGTGTTTTTTATCTGCTCACTAGAAGTGTCTTTCATCAACATGGCCACTTGAAGAAAATAAGTCCTGGTAAATCAAGCAGTAGTTATCATATTGTTCTGTAGATGTGAAACATAGACTGTATCTTTTCATAACATGGAGAGCTTTGAAAGATTCCATCAAAGGAGCAGTCCATCCTAAGCACATGGGAGGACAATCACTAATAATCAAGTCCTTGAATGTACCAATCATATGAGTATTGAAGCTATTGTCAAACATTACTAGCTTCAATAGAAAACGTTTTTTAAATGAAAAACTCTTTAAGGAAACCTAGTATTTTGAACTTGGAAGAAACAAGAACAAGAGGCAGTCAAAGAATAAAAAAAAAAATTAGGATCAACTCAAGGTTGAATCTCCAGATATTTGAGTTTCAGCTTATTCATATGTCCATCCTTTGCATGTGACTGACCAAGACAAGAATTACCCTTTTAAAAGATCAACAATAATTCTTCTGTCGCCACTTAATTTAAAAACAATTTGATGTATGTAGGTCGTTATTTTCTGTACAAACAACTATTTTTATTTCACGGGTGACTTTTACTGGATTTCGCAATTAATTTCAATTATCCCAAGTTTATTTCCAAGTTTATAAAATTTCTATCATACAAAAAAAAATTGTCACAAAAAAAATCACTTAAAAAAAAAAAAAAATCACTGAAAACAATCACAGCAATGAAAACTTGGGAATTCAGAATTTCAGGATTGTGCGTCCAGATCCAGCCTGGAATGGTTTTAATTTGCTTGCAGAGTCAGCCGGATTCTAAAATGGTATGATATGTTGGGCCACGGTGTCTAGGAGTAAAGTTGAAAAAGCATAACACACTGACATTCGCATTTATTATATAGAAGAAAAACAGAATGAATGAATCAATTTGGATATCACTAAACAATCCTCATATTTGGTGTGTGAAAGAACATGTCTTTTTAAAGAGTGGATTCTGGAGTCGTCAAAGAAAACATTCTGGCCAACTTCTTGCAAACAAGAATTATTAATGATGTTGATAGTTTGGTTGTCTAGTTTTGTTTACATACATTTGATGAAATAAAAAATATAGTCTTTTCAAATATGCACGTGTAGTGTTAAAGTTTTAAAAGATAAACTCTTAAATTTGATATATTTAATGAAATGTTTTTGATTTAGTTTATAATTGTGTCTGCACTTGATAAAGACTTCTTGATAAATACTTTTCATTATCAGTAAAAAAAAAAAAAAAATTTGGGTTACTCGTTAAATATTGCTTAGTATATTATTTTTGTTACAATATCTTTCAGAGTACATTTATTGACTAGTTTTGTTTTTCATCTTTGTTACTTTATATCACAATGTTGAAACTATTTTTCAAAACTATTTTATAAAAATATTTGTATTTGATCATGCACTAAAAAAGTTAGAATTATAAGAAAATAATACATCTGAAAAACAATGAACAAAAGAAAACTATGAATTTAAGATAAATAAAAACTTAAAGCCGTTAACAAATAGAACTTCATTGTCATTGAATGTCTTTCTTAGTTATTTTTGCTATGTACATTCCCTATCCTTGTACAATGGCTTCACAATAGGAATAAACAATCACATTGATTTTTGTAGTTTTCATATTGTCTTTCTGAAGAATTTGCTTAGATTTTCATATTGTTTTTATTATTTCCAGGAATTCATCCAATCGTTCAACTTCAACAATAGTGTAGCTCTCCAGGCTTCTTTGACTGTCCCTCCTATGCCTGATGGAACGATGACACCATCATCTTTGTCCAGCAGTTTGTCAAGCAATACTTCATTATGCACGCTGAATGTTAATAAAGAAAACAGAGAATTGGTTCAGAGTTTAGCTGAACATGTCATCTACAGTAAGTAACTAAGCTCAGTTTGGTTTCTCAGAAAATCTGATACAAAAGTCAACTAACCTCCATAAAAGCCAAAAAAAAGGCTTCTTTAAAAAGTAGTTAATTTAAAGAAGGCCAAAAATGAGGGGGGGAGCAAATTCAGTAGAAATATTAATTTTATTTTTGGTTAGTGTATTTTCTTGTGTATACTACTACCCCATGTTTCTAAAGCTAAAAACAGGAAATAAATTATATTCTTCAGTATAATACAACCCCGTAGTACAGTTATCCTTATGAAATTTTTTTTTCTTTTGTAAAGTTGTGCCATATCCATTATAATCTCAATGTTGTGCATACATTTCATTTAAAATATTTAATTTTTCACAATATTAAAGAATAGAAATGAACCAGATGTTTAGACATTGTGTTTTCCTAATTTCCATTTCAAAACTTATTTTGGGGGATAGATGCTAACGAGACTTATCCAGTAATACATTTTAAGGTGTTAATTAATTTATCATACTTTTCTGTTTGATATGACTTTATTATATTTCTATATATATTAATAAACTATGAAAAAAAAATTGTTTTTCAGTAAGAATGAAGAGAAAAACAAATATTACCGGCATATCAAATACTTGTTATCAATACCTGCCTACTTTGATTTATTATCCATTGTGCTGAGTGTATTTGCAATCTTGCTGTTTCAAATAAGGGCTTCTTTTTTTTTTTTTTTTAAGTTTGGTAAAAATTTCTGGTAATGCGTACTATCCCTCTTTTTTGCCTTAATTTTTGTTCAAAATTTTTCATATTATGTACAAGAAAATTCAGTAGTCAGCTTATTGACAGATCTTAGCTTAGTCTGTGATTTTGTCCAAAAGTGGTGCACCTTTGCTTGGTGAGATTTTAGCTTTACAAAGGCACATTTTTTTTTATTTTTTTTTATTTTTATTTTTTTTTTTTTGTCAAAAATTTCTTTACAAGGATATAAAGAATATTTAAACAAAATGTATTTTAAAAGTTACTTTATCCTAAATAATACTTAGTGATTTTGCTAGTTGATGAGATTTTTTTTTTCCAAACCCAGACTATGGTATTGTCATTTTCCAACTCACAATCTGTGAGTCTCTGATTTTTCATTATTGAATTTTCTTCAATTTCAGGTTGTGTGTGTAGCACAGTGATGATGAGTACCAATCTTTTGGCCTTTCTGCTGTTAACAAAACACAGAGAAGTAAGAAACTAAATGTTGCTTTTTAATTTGTTTCATTAAAGAATTTACAGAATTTTGTTTATACAAAAGAGAACAGGAATTTACTAAGTGAGCATTAACATGATATCCTAATTATTTCTTACTGTAATCTTATGTTTAATATAAATTTTAAAATTAATATGCAAAGTATATGCAATAAAAATTCCTTTATATATTTTATATATATATATATATACACACACACACACACACACAAGTAAGCATGTGGCAAGTATTTTGTTATACTTGCCTGGCTAAGATCCAAAATATTTGTAAAGCGAGCTACTTTAATATAATAAACTTAAGTGTTTTTCATTTGACCTGAATAAATTTGAAATATTTCTAAAGAGATTGCGAAAAATTTATTTTTAATCCAACATTTTTATTATTTCAATTTTTGCTACTGTCTGAAGCATCTTGCTCTTCCTGCCAAGCAAATTAATGAAACTATTTCGCATGCATAGGTTGGCCTCACAAACTAAATTTTTGTAAAAAGGTTTGAGTATAAAAATTTACCTTTTATAAATAGATATTGTAAAGTTCTTTTCATCAATACAGTGTTATCCACATGTCCTGCTTATGTTAATATTAGTGATATGTCCCGGAAAGGGATATATTTGATCAAAGTAGCTAAGTGGGTTTGGCTACTGTAACCGAGTAGTACATGGTAGCAGTAATTGACTGGTACTTGTAGTCACAGGTAATAGGTGTAAACCAATAGGATAGCCAATGGCGTAGTCCAATCGGCTACCTACACGTCCATCTGTATTTATGACAGACACCAGCCCATCATATTCTAGGGAAGGGGAACTCTGGTGTATGCATATTCCATTATATCAATTAGTCTGCTGATAATACCTTCTGGTTCTTCTCATAGGATCCTCCTGCTATACAGCATATAGGGTACTTATTTTTTTTTTTTTTTTTAAATATCTATTTGTTTATTGCCAAACTGTCTTGGGTGGATAATGCTCTTTATGGATGTTATAGTTGAACTCAGTTTAAAAATAAAAAATAGTGCATCTATTTTAAACATGGGTATCCACTAAAAATAACGTCTGAAGTAATAAAGAGATTGTGAATGGTGATGATCATGATTCTGATGATGATTATGATTCTGATGATGATCATGATTCTTCTGATTCTGATCAGTGGTGGTTCATCAGTTAAATACTCACCATACTACAACATATTAACCACTTATTATATTTTTCACTTTTTATTTTTGCTTCCACCTCTCTTTCTGGGGGTTTCCTATTTACTATCAATGTAATATCAGGTCAGCCAGTTCCAAAAAGAGGCTTTTTCACTTGCTCATGAAGTCATGTCTGAACCAGTTGCTCATGAAGTCATGTCTGAACCAGTTGCTCATGAAGTCATGTCTGAACCAGTTGCTCATGAAGTCATGTCTGAACCAGTTGCTCATGAAGTCATGTCTGAACCAGTTGCTGCGAAGTCATGTGAACCAGTTGCTCGCGAAGTCATGTTCGAAACCAGTTGCTCATGAAGTCATGTCTGAACCAGTTGCTCATGAAGTCATGTCTGAACCAGTTGCTCATGAAGTCATGGCTGAACCACTTGCTCATGAAGTCATGGCTGAACCACTTGCTTGTTTGGGTAACCAATGCAAACTTTATGTCACCCAAAGTCATCATACAATATAGCATGTGCAGATCCATCGCTGCTAAATGCGCTGAAGTGATTAGTCGGCCTTCCTAGATGTCTTCTTCCGTGGACAATTCTTCCCACTTTAAAGCCTACCCACTCCTCCGCCATTCGTTGTTTCATGGTGCGTGTTCCATACTGTGCTGTCATCCAGCGATGGATTCTTGAATGTTTGACTCCCTCTGCCCACAGTGCACTATGGTGATTGTTCCTTGATGGGACAATTGCTGAGTAGCACGTCCATACATCTGCTTCATGTCTCCCTGACAGTAGACTAAATGATGGAATGCTGCTCCCATCTAACTACCCATCATCCTATGCATGCATGTGGTGTCGCACGAAAGTGCCTACCTGTTGTTTTTACCGTGTAATTTCAACATTAACTTTACTTTTCTGATTTACCTTTATATATATATATATATATATATATATATATATATATATATATATATATATATATATATAAGTAGCCTTAAGTGTTATTTTTTTTTAGAGAATGGATAACGGATAGAATTAAGTGCTATATAAACCTCAGTGATTATTGGATACACTTGAAATGAGTTTGTTATTGAATATAATTATTTATTAATTTTACTTGTATATTTTTGCATTACAAGAAAAACCTTCTGGAATACTTTTTGTTCTGTAAGTTTATATTTGTGAATATAAGTGTAGATAGGCCAAAACTATCTACTCCTACTGAAACCTATCATCCAATTGACACTCCTTCTCAGTCTATTGAACAGGATTAGAGGTTTATCCCATGTTTCCTGTTTTGGATTGAGTGTCCTGTTCTTTCTAAAGTCTATTTCAACTCTATACTTCAGACGTCTTCGTCTGAACTCTAGAATTTTATATACTAATTTTTTTCTCTCTTTCTCTCCTCATTTGGAGTTGTTAGGTTCATCTATCATCCAATTCACACTCCTCCCCAGTATTTTCAACTGGAATAGAGGTTTATCCATTGTCCCCTGTTTAGGCTTGGGTTTCCTAGTTCCTTCTAAAAACTTTTCATTCTGTTTCACTCCAATCCCCCCTTACATGTTCGTGGCATTTCACTTTGCTCAAGGTGAATTAAAAAAAATTAAAAAAAAAAAAAAAAATTGTGTGTGTGTTTATGAATTTGTATTTACTGCTTCCCAATTTTATTTGAAACGAACATTAGTTTTAATGTTATCTATTCTTTGTTTTTAGGGTGCAGATCTCAATACATTGTCTGCCAGTTTCAAAGATTTGATTAATCAAGTCAGAATCCGTAATCGTGATCTTGGTTTTAGTGGCAAGACTGAAAATATTATTCCATATGCTGCAACTTTGCTGGGCGATAACTTTGTCAGAAGGTAGGTGATATCTGTAACTGTATGAATTAGTTTGAATTAAATTTTTTTTTTTTTTTTTTTTTTTACATCAGTGATATAAAATGATATTGTAATGAAGTTAAATGAGCACAATGCTTTGTGTGCTTTGCATGCTGGCAGTCATTTGCAATGTGAAAATTGCATATGCACAAGTGCAATTGTTATAATACCATCACCAGATGAATATTCATAAGTGGCAGGCAGTGTGCTGCCCACAGCTGATTGCAATTACATCCATTAGTGACTGCAATCTATGTTGGACCATGTGTTCCACAATTTATGCTGTTGTAATTACTTTCTTTGCTTTCCTTTTTCTTATATTTGTGTTATGTATGTTTGCAAGAATACTTATCCTTTTTAGGCTGATGCAAAAAAAAATTCTATGATCAGTATTTATCTGTTATCTCATCTGTTCCTTCTATTAGCTTGATTCCAAAAGTCATGTTGCCCACCTGCTGATGAATACATGAAAAAAAAAAAAAAGCTCAGGTGCTGTTCACAAATAAAGATAAAAGTAAAAATAGCTAATTATGGACATAGAAAGATGCAAACCTTTCTTCTTTAACCTTTATACCTCTGTATGCAACTTCATTTGCTGTAATAAAAAGTTTATCCTGCCACTGAAGGTGACTCTGATCCCTGGATTTGAATTTCATAGTTGTGTTTTCATATCCTGCTATGGCAACAGAAAACACCTTTAAGTGAAATTAACAATAAGGATACTGCAATTGAGAGGCATTGAAAAAAAATGCAGTGGAAAGGGATGTGATATTAATAATGCAGAGTGCTAAAGGTTAATCTTTTAATAACAGTATCCTCCTGACATCAGTTTAAACTGATGCCTTCTTTTTTTCTTTTCGTATATCTAAACTATAACTTACGCAAGTGTAAATTTCTATGTTTTTATCTGAAATCAAGAAAATACAAACTTTAAACAAAATGGTAGCAATATATGTAGGTGGAGAAAGATATGGGTTTAAAAGTGGAAGTCATAAATTTGGGGGAAAATATTAACAAAGGATTGTTTTTGCAGAAATCTCTTATAAATTTCTGTAACTTTAAATAAATAATTTTTCCTTTTTCAGACTTCACACAAAAGATGGTGAGCTGTTTTTCAAGCCAGTTGTAGATTTGCCTGCTGTCTTTGGCTTAAGCTACTACAGTGCTCCAGTGACTTGTGTTTTTGCTATGGAGAGTATCATAGGTAATGTATCATCTTATTATAATTCTGCTTGTCCAATAAAAACTCCTAACATCCTAATACATAAGCATGATGCAAAAAATTATACAGTGGAATTGTTGAGGCCTAAAAGTAAACATAAATGAATTACTCTTATTCAAAATGAATCAACTTCCTGCTGTCATATGCCTTTAAGAAATGTTCTTAGATTGTACTTTATAATAAAATACTAAAAAAAAAAAGTTTATAAGTGTTTAGAGAAACAAAAAACTTCAATTATTCTTAACAAACAATAAAACCCATTTTCAACCATACCTGACAAAAAAATAAACTTATTTACGTTACTCGAGGGGGGGTGATTTTCCTTCAACTATACCTAACATAACTATAAAATTTTCTTTCAACCATATCTGAAGAACTATAAATCTTACTTAACAAACTATAAAATATGTTTACAACACAATCAATTTTTTCTCTAAATGACCCACAAGAGGTTGAGAAGCCATTTAAACAAAATCAAAGCTCCCAAAGGCTCACAAGGAGTTGATATGTCATTAAACAAATCAAATCTGCTTGTCCCTCCCTTAGCACGACCATTACACCCTGCCAATACATAATAAATAATGGACTATTCCATTTTGATCACATGAAAAGACATATCAGAGACACTACTTGGTTTACAGTGAAGTGGAAAAAGTTGTCATTTTCAAGTCTTTTCATTTGGACCCTTTACTTCTTAAAATAACAACCAGCATTCATATTTATGATCATTGTCATTGCAATGTTTTGTTAAAGTTTTGATATTTAATTATGTGAATTTATACAGATGTTTTATTGTTGTAGAACTCACCATGAGCTTATTCAATCATTAACTTAAGAAATAAGATTCATCAGAAAATTCAAATAGGAAATCCCTGAAATTTTCACGGGTATTTTTTGTGTTTATCTATAATTGTGCATAACCTCTGATTGTTATCAAAATTGATTTTAAAGCATTTTCCACTTTATACTTTAGATTTTTCTTTTGAATTCTTCTGTTCCTTTTTTTTTTCTCTCTATTTTCTGGTATCATCTTTTTCCCTTTTTGCATTTGAATCAGCTTCTTACTCTATATTTGAACCCTACCAATAATTTCTTGAACATAATAAACTCTTCTAGAATATATGGTAGCTGTAACTTCTTGACTATAAACTTTATATATAAATTTACAAACAATATATAAAAAGTATGATGATTTATCCTCTTGGAAACATGACAAGCATAAAAATGTTGCAAATGATATGCAACAAGATGTCTGCACATCATTTGCAATGTATGCACCTTGATGTTAGATAGCTACCACTAACTTGCACAACGTCCCTGCTGACAGGCCGGCTCTATAATCTCATGCAGTCTCATCTATAGTTGATTTTGTTTCATAGACTGAACAGGTGACAGTTACCAGTTTTCTAAGCTCAGCTGGCAGTTTTCTTTGATGAATCACAGTAACAAATGCTATGGTGTCACTTGATACTCTTGTTGGTTGATGACCATGAAACTCTGGAATGCAAGAAGTTATATCAGTGTATTGACTGATGGGTTATGCAGCATCATCATTCAATTGAGATGAATGCAATGTTTCCTTTCTTTAGGTTGCTACCATTTTTGTTATACCTTCCTCATGATGCAACTGTGTCATGTAACTTGATTTTATTTAAGAAGTATTTAAATGACCTTTTATTGATATTCTTAATATCAACCTGTTTTGCAGAGAGAGATAAAATTTCATTATATGTCTAAGCTAATAGAGTACAGCACTATTTTTGTTTTGTATTGTGCAGTTAAGATTAAATATGTCACTGAACAAAAAAATTTGAAGCCTATGGGGTGGGGAGTTTTGGGCTATAATAAGCTTATTAGTCTTCTCCTATGCCAATAAAATACCAATGGTTGTCTGTCTGGTTTCTCCTCATTGTTTTTTTTATTTGTTAATTTTATTCATTTATTTACTTTTTTTTTTTTTTTTTTTTTTTTAATAATGCTGATGATGATAGCAGCAGCCATCAGCATGGCAACCTTGCTGCTTATTATATTTGTTAAGTGAGTAGAACTGCAGTTAAATACTGGAAGAAGAACAAAGGTAGACTTCCTGGAAAATGCATGCACACACACAAGATGCTAAAAAGCTTCCAGCCTGATCCACTGTCCAAAAGTTGATTTATATAAGTGTGTGTGTGGACACTCTCTGATACATGAGGTGTGTGTAGTAGAAAAAAAGATAAATATTTACAAATTTGGCTCTAATTCAAAATATCAGGGGCAAAGGGATTAGCAGTGATTGTTAAATTATATAGAGAACGCAAAAGAAAATATGTAAGAAAATTTTGTGCATAAAAATTACATTTTATTTATTCTCATCAAATGAAAGTCTCTTTTTATTGGATACTCAAACAAATTAGTAATGTTGATATTTATCTGTGTATATGTGTGTTTTAATCTTTCTCATGTCATAAGAATGTTAATTTTATTCTGCTTTGTCTACTGTATCTGACTGAAAGAGGTGGGAAAAGAACAAGCTTGTTTGCTGATTGTTTGGCTTATTAACCATCTGTTATTGAAGATAACATGAAAAATAAAATCCTCTTACTGAATAATTGTCTTATCTGCATTTACTTTCAGTTGGTGCCTGTTTTTACATTGGTCAGTTTAGCCTTACAGATCTGGACAGTTCCATTCACAGGCTTGATACTTATATTAAACGAGAAGAGCTTTTCCAAACTGCCCGTGTTCTTTGCAAATTATTCAAATTTGAATACATTCTGAGTTTGGTAAGTTTTCATTTTAACAATTGACACCTCTAAACTACCTTAAGACGTCATGAACATGCAAAGATTTCACCCCTTTTGTGTCACTGGTAAAATAAACAGTGCAAAGAAGGCTTTTTTGTTTTTTTGTTCTCTTTGTTTTTTGTTTTGTTCTTGTAACCATTTATCATCCACACATGAACACACAAAAATGAAGCAAATTCACTCCAATATTTCATCAGTTACTCTGGCCTGTCTGTTGCCTCTGTTTTGGTAAATGGACCTTACATTCTGTCTGTAATTAATGAAAGACTGCTGTGAGAGTCTTGGGGTGGTTGTTTATATATGTTTATATCCCCTTTCTCTTTGTATTCCATAAGTAAGAAGTAAGTTCCACTCGGACAGCTTCTTCCCAAGAACTGCTGCTTTGTGAAACAGACTCCTAGCAGGATGTTTTTCACAATCACTACAATTTTGACCTCTTCAAGTGTAGGATTAATCATTATCTTTTTTGCATAACCCTATGAACTTCACTTCTCATCTTTTCTTATGCTTGTGCAACACTACACAGTAACTCTCTACCTTGAGTGGCTCTTGGGTCTTGTACTGGATAAACATTAGTATTTTAAAAAAATAGCATTTTGAGCACTTGTCTTTCTTTCTATTGAAATTTTCCCCATTTCTTAATACTTTAACTTCTGCAAGGGTCTTTTTGCTATTCCAATGCACCTTCAAATTTCAGTGTTACATTTTCCATTATCACTTATGTCTCCCCCCCCCCCCAATCCAATTGTAATCTTTACATCTATTTATATTCTCTGACTATCAAATAAATCAGTATGGATTGAAGATGGAATATGAAAGAAAAATTAGTCAAAAATTAATAAATGTAAATGCTTCAACTAAGAAATTCAGAAGGCTTAAATTGTTGCTATTACTTGGTGTAAACAAACAATATGGAATGGAGATTAGAATGATTAGATTAGGACTTTGTCTGTTCATTGGTCTCTGTAACCAAATTGGTTAAGGCATTGCCTATGTGAGATGAGCTCCCAAGGAAAAAGAATTAAAATCTTGTTGAAAGTTACATTTTCAATCCATGTTTTGCTTAATGGTTGTAAAATGTCAAACAATCTGAACATTATGATAAAAAGTAAAATATAAAAACTAGTCAAAAATTAATGATTTTCTGAAAATATTTTAAATGAATTTTCTCTTTCTTTCAAATAAGAGGTTGAGCACTGTTATCTTTGCAGCCTATTTGTGTTGCCTTATATCTATGAGATATGATAGACCCTCCTGTAGATTACAACACATGAATTTAGATTGCAAACATACACAGAACAAACTAATGTACAAGGGTGAGTCAAAAAGTAATGTAATGTCTTATATAAGAAATAAGGCACGCATTTAAACATATTGTACATCAAGATGTAGCTATATATCACAAGTTCACATCTCTACTTCTGACCATAATCACCACCTCTTTCAATGGCAGTGTTCCACCTATGAATGAGAGTATGTATCCAAGCTTTGTAAAACTCAGCTGGCTGCTGATGTAGACAATTCTTTGCACCAGTTTTCACTTCTTCATCACCACCATAACATTTACCCCTCAGTGCTTCTTTCATTGGACCAAAGAGATGGAAGTCTTTCGTGAATGTTACAGGAGTGTCTCCTTTGGCAAGAAAGAACTATTACTCTTTGCTTCTGATGAACTTACAGCAGGGCAGCCATTTTCATATCAGCTTGTTTATTCATATATCTGCGGTGGGGGATCAGATAAACATCAAGAGTGTAGGTGGCGTTACATCTGTACCAAATTTTGAATAATTTCATTGAGATATAACAAAAATTGCATTACTTTTTGACTCACCCTTGTATTTAATAGATAATTGGCAAATTTTGTTGTTAGTGCAGAACTCTCAAATTTGAATTGTAGTCAGAAATATTTTCTTGTAGATATTTGTTCATTTTTTAAATTTTTTTCTTTTTTAGAACTGCATGGAAATTGATGATGTCATCACAGATGCCTATGATGTCTTAGTAATGAGAGAAATCTTACAAATTCCTACATTAGAGGTAAGAATTGTTTAATTAATTCCAGCAGAATAATGTATCCCTTCAGGATGTAGGTGATCATGGCTCTTCCCAGCTTTTTTATTAATAGTCGTAAACTGTGCATTGACACACAATTGTTTCTGGGAAAGAGTAGGGTAGTTTTTAGTTGTACTTCTCTTAAACTGGTTTCCAAGCAAGGCTTGGCAGCCTTATTTGCCCTACTCTTTAATCCTTAGCTGGTGCAAGGAGGAGATTAGTGCAAAGTGTTTCAGGTAGAATTTGAACTTGGATCACTGATTCCATTTTTTTCATGCTGTTAGTTCATCTGCAGCTCGTATAGTATTTAATAGTATGATAAAAATAGACCTGTTTTGCAATTCGAACATTGATCCAAATTTTTACAAAATTTACTTTTCTGTTGAGCAGGTATCCAATCGACTGTATCCTAGGAAAGTGCTTGATATATACTCCCTTGGTGATGAAGAGGACTTTGCTTATGCAAATGAAAGATTAATGGTAAGTTTGAGGTTGTTATTGTTCTTTGCATGCAATTATAGCATTAGTGGTTATTCAATATTATATAAGATTGTTCACATTTGTATAAAGTTTTAAATAGTTTACTTAAAAAATCATCAAGTGAAATAAAATTTCATGTTTTGCCTTTATTTGTAATCTTCTGTCATTTACTCATTTTTAAAATCTTGTTGAAACATAAGAGAATAAAAAAAAAACAATGAAATAAAACAAAAATGCCAAAAAATCTTACTTTGCTCTGCAATTGAAAGGAATACTTTTTAATCACCTGATCATGATCAGTTTGGGGAATATACAGCTGGGTCCCTCCGACAGTTTTTAACTGACGCATCAGCTTCTGCACCATGCCATGGTTTGATTCTTGCTTGTCTTAGAACAAAACTGGGAAAGGCCCTTTTTACATTCAACAAAGCAAGATATTGCAAGGGAGAGAAAAATCTCAAATCTGGCCATATTCAGATATCACATTAATTTGTAATAAACTGTTTTTCATTGGTTAGCTCAACTGGAGCTGAGGTAAATGATATTTGGGACATCATTTTTGTTATTCTGTCTTTCACATGGCAGACTAACAAACCAGGTCTTCACTTCAGCCAGCTGTCTGATTCTACTTCTCTCTCTCTTTTTTTTATTTTTTTTTACTTAACTATGACTCTTACCATAACTGCCCTTATCTATGATGCAACCTGACTATATAAACCCATGAAGGAATTTCCTGCCTTCCAATTAAGTGGCACTTGATCTCAAAAGTATTTATTTGTTTGTACATTTTCTTTTCTCAACTTATGGAGAATGGGTGGTTGCTTTGAAACTCTCATATCAGGCCCAGATAAAACTATTTACAGTTCATTTGACCATGTAGATGTCCTCACCAATAAGTAAACTGTCCAGTCAAAACACAATTTATTTGCTTCTTATTCTACATTCCAGATTAATACCTCCAGTGATGAGTGTATTGAGAAGCTGTATTTTTATCAGAGAATAATGCTTCCTCTCTGTGAGGCATACCTTGTTGCTGCCAACCATGTAAAGACTTTATTTGAACGTAACATTCCAGGTGAGATATATAAAACCAATACATTTGATGCTGGTATCTGCCCAGCATCTCCTTTTTTTTTTTTTCTTTCCACTTTCTTTTTTTTTTTCTTTTTACTTTTTTTTTTTTTTTTAAAAAACAATTTCCACATGGGATTTGTTTAGGAATTTTTACATGTCTGGGTCTGTGTGTGCATGGGAGGGTGCTATCTTGGCACCTACAGGACTAAAAGTTTCCACTTACGCTAATATTATACATAGGAAATGTGGAAAAAGTGGTTTCATGGCTTTCCCAAGAGGATTAGTGCAAAGTGGACACAAACAATCCCACTCAGAACTTGAACTCCAATTACCAATTCCATTCCATTCCATGTGCTGTTAACTGATAAGACATTAGTCATCTGCAACCTTCTTCCCAAGACTGCAGTGTATTAGACACAATAGCTGACATAGAAAAGACATTTTCTCTCCATCTGCAAACATTTTTGTCTTCAGTGACTTTAATGCTCACCACGGCACATAGTTGAAACATTCTAAACGTACTGATGTTGCTGGTATACAAACATTAAATTTTTCCATTGCCCAATCCCTCACTATTAGCCTTCTGCCACTTTTTGGGAAATTCCTAGAGACCCTAATAAATGCTGAATTGGTTCATCATCTCTCATCACAGACAAGCAATATGGCCTTCATTTTTCCAGATCAACTGTTGATGTACTAACAATAATTGCAAAAAGAGTCTATCATGCTCTAGATAAAGATGGTGAAGGCCAGGCTGTAGCAATATGTATCTTGAAAGCCTTTCTCCACAAACTGAAAATCTATGGTATCTCTTGGCACATTTTTGAGCTGATTGTGAAATGAAAGTCAAACAAGGTCAAAATGACAGTTGATGTACAAAACGACCTGAAGACTTGTTAACTGAGGCAAAAGATGGCTTGTCAATTTCAAAACTAAACTTCTCTCCATTAATCACCTGAGAGACCCCTCTCTGCCTTCCATCAGCATAGCTGATGCTATCCTCTAAAAAAGTGACTCATTTCGCCTTCTCTGGCTAACATTTTCAGCTGACACAAGATGGCAAGACTACATTGAATCCATCACTGGATCATCTGCTAAGAAAGTTGGTTTACTGTGTTGGGTGAGACAATTTTTCTCTCCAGAATCTATCTATCTATCTATAAGTCTACCATTCATCCATGCTTATAATATTGCTGCCATATATGGTCCAGTACCCCAGCTATTTACATTGAGCTCCTTGATAAGATTCAAAGAATCAGCAATATTATTGGTCCTGATCTTGCAGCTCAGATTCAGTCACTTGTCCACTGCCATAAGGTTGCCTATCTGTGCCTTTTTTTATAAATACTTTCATGGTAATTGTTCAGATGAGCTCCTCGTTATGGTACCTAGACAGTTTGAATTTAAACCCACTACTAGACTGGTGGTGAGATCTTATCAATTTACAATTGAGCTAGCTAGATGTAGCCGTAACTGACAGTTTCTTATGTCTCACTTCTCACTTGTGGAACTCCCTTCCAATTCCATCCTTTCCAACCCACTATAATCTGCAAAAATTTAAATGCAATGTCAATCGTGGTCTACTGTCCTCCTCATTTCTCTTTCTCCTCATTACTAATGTTTCTGTTCCTACTTCTTCCACACTCTGTAACCCCTTGTGTGCTAGTGGCTGTACTGTCTCGCTTGGAGGTGATACTGATTTTTTTTTTTTTTTTTTTTTTTTTTAAAGAAGCCCTCCTCCCATAAGACATTAACCACCTGCAAAACTCATCCTCCCATAATAGACATTAGTCACCTGTAACTCTGCCTCACATAATAGATACACCTGCAACTCCTACATATATTCTAAATAATTAAGTGCTTCCCTAAAAAAAATATTTAGGGAATGTAAGGCAAAATATCTTTGTCAAAAAAAAAAAAATTGAGAAATAAAAGATTCTTTGCTGCCTAGTGAGGCAATTCTTGAGAGATATGCCCAAATGTCTAGAAAAGCATTAAGTAATACGGAATAACTTGATTGATTGAGAAATTTTTAAAGGCTTGAGACTTTTGGTAATAGCAATACCCATCCCCATTCTCATCTCTCAGCCGCAGACAAAAAGAAATATCGAACCATCTGTTAGTGGAATATTGGTGCTACTATATAAATCTTTATTCAATTCTTTTCTTCAGAGGATGAATTCATCTCAACATTACACAATGCAGCCAAAGATCGCGTAGCCAAGAAACTTGTCAAATGTAGTGAGTATTAAAGAAAAATTTATTAAAAAAAAAATCTTTAAGCTTTTTGTGTAAACAATTTTTTTATATTAACCCTATCAGCCTTCAAGTAATTTCAATTTTTAAATCCCTTAAATTGTTGAAAATTTTTACATGTGATGTTAACGCAATTAAAAAATGATCTCAAAAACCATGGAAATTCATGTCTTACAAATTGATTTTTATATGAAAGTAAATTGATTTCTCTCTTAAATGATAATAAATTTACTCTCCTTGGTATTATTATAAGATATTGATTTTGTACATTGTAAAAGTTGTAGAATTCTGGCACCTCTAGTTGATTATGTGATGTTGTTTATTGAAATTCAGTGCTACACAATTATGTGGCACATTCAAGGGCTCCCAGACTAAGTGTGGGAAACTTGTGGGCACATTTGGGTGCATCTGGCCTTAAAAAGTTAACGTGTTCAATAAATATTCAATAAACATTACTCTTTAGGTTCACTGTTTTATTTTTCTTTTAGGGATGCGACAGCATAAATGTCCCAACAGTTTTATGTAACAAAGAGTTTGGATTAATTACAGAAATTACCAGTTGATATTAACAAATACTGTCTTGATGTTGATATGTTGCATTAAACTGATGATATCTTTGAGGAAATATATCTGTCTTTTTCTGTGAATATTTGGAGTATTATTTGCTAGCAGATGTTTTCAGGCTGCTATGGCAACCTGAAGAATTATGGGGTGGGGGGGACAGCACTCATACAGAGCCACTTACAGAACAGCTACTGTGGAAGATCCTGTTTGCCTCATATCAGTCTCATATACTGGCTGATTGAAAAGTAAATCCCTATTTTATGTATGATGGACTCTCCTGTCTAACTATAATTTTTACAATGCAGGAAAATCCATCATACATAAAATATTGATTTTTTTTTTTTTTTTTTTTTTTTCAAGCACCCTAATATATATATATATATATATATATATATATATATATATATATATATATATATATATATATATATTATTATAGCGGGTTCATATGATAATAGTAGATGTGATGTGGTAGTAATGGTGTTGGCAGGATTGGTGGTAATGATAATATTAGTAGCTAATCGTTATTGTAAAATGGTAGAAGTGATTAGTATACCACCAATCCCCCAACACCATTACTATCACATCTACTATTATCATATAAACCTGCTATAATCATTAACGTAAACTACTCCCCCCCGCCCAGCATATTTAATGCCACCATATAAAAACCAATAAGGATTACAAACTGCACTTTCTACCAGTTACTTATACACAGTCATCAAAAACAAGCAAATAACCAGCTTTAAAATAATAACAAATCGGCCTTAAAAAATGAAAAATAATAGCAATTTTTACCTATCATAATTTTACACAGACTCCACTACATGTATATATGTGCGTGCGTGGAAATATTATTCAGCGAAAGGATAAAAAAATGATCTGATTGTTGACATGTATACATTCATGAGACATTTTTGCTACACTTCCAATCTTTTAATTTCAACATACAAATATATATGTATATAGACAACAGCACATATATACATACATATGTCAAGTCCCATACTGTCCACATATGTTTGTCTGTATGAGCCCCGGTGGACGAGCGAGTGTGTATGTGTGTCTCCATACCTCAACGGGTGTATGGACATGCATCTATGTTTGCGTTAGCATGAGTGACATCACGACGACGATTCCCCCCCCACTTCCATAATAACACCAATACACGCAATCTACATAAATCCAAAATTTTTAAAAAATTAATCAGTTTGTCTGACGATCGCAAAAGCGTGAAACCCAGGGTCACACTCATATCAATCCAACCAAATATGTAAGCTCTATCTCTGATATTGAGCGCTTTCTAATAAGTACCGCACATATAATATATAAATAATAATATATATATATATTACGTGTGTGTGTGTGTGTGTAATATACACACACACACACACACACCCAGGGTGTATTAAAAATACTTTTACAAACCTTGGGGTGGGTTCCTTACACCAAAACAAGGACAAAAGCCCATATAAACACATGTCTGCAAATCCTTCATTTTTGATTTATGTTTAAAGAAAGTTAATGGTAGATGGCATTGTGTTATCATTCATGTACATTTGTCGCTAGTCTGCCTTCAACATTTAACATGTGTAGTAGTGAATTAACTGAGAAGTGTTCCATTTAACAATGGCAGGATATTTATATCATGAGCAGGTAGATATGATTTTTACATACATCTGCGCAAATCGTAATGGATGTGAGGTTGCACAGCTGTGTCAGATTGCATTTCCAGACAAAAGGCAGCTGAGTCATCCAACCTTTGTTGCAATTTATCATCTCATTGCCGATACAGGATCTGTGGCACCACAAACTATGTATTGAGGAAGACCAAGATCCGCGTGTAGGCCTGACAACAAAAAATATATTCTACAGGCTATCAGAAATGATCCTGGTATCAGCACATGTCAAGTGGGACTAGCATGTCGTGAATCTCATAGTACCACATGGAAGTTACTTTAAGAGCAACTCCTGTATCTGTATCATTTGCAACATGTGCAAGGGTCTTTCACCTTGGGAGAACTTTTGCTGATTGTTTATTGCACAAACTACTGATACGTTGTTTGTCTCTTCAGTCTTGTTTATGGATGAGGTAACATTTGGAAGAGATGGAATAACAAATTTATACAACCAACCTTTGTCGGCAGACTGGAATCCCCAAACCTAACTTACAAACCTAAATTTATTGAGATAGTTATCAATAGCTCATGAAAACATTTGTTTCAAATCAGATTAAATCAGCTAATTTTCCTGAAATAAAGTTTCAGCAAAAGTACATTTTATTTTTGAAAGCTTTTTAATAAAGACAATTACATTGTCAATCAGGCATTTTTTTATTTATTTTTTTATTAGAATCGATTTAAATTTGTTTTTGAATACAGTAAAGTATTTTGCTTATTGGAAATATTAAATTTAATCTATTAGCTTAAAATTAAAATAAAAGCTTTAAGAAAAATTATTCATTTTAAAAAATTCATTTTAAACCTTTTTTTTGGTATATGTGTGTATTATATATATATATATATATATATATATATATATATATATATATATACACACACACAGGACTCTCACTTTTTTTTTTTTTTTTTTTTTTTTTTGTATGAGGGTAAAGCAGCTCAGTTTTTTAGAACTAACAGCCAGATTATCCACATTTGATTATAGTGATGAAGGCTAGCACAGGACCAACCACACTTTTTGGAAGAGACAAATATAGAGAACTGGTGCACAGTATGCCACAAGGTCCCCAAATGACCTTCCACAGGTTTTGAATTTTGTCTCCTAGACCATTTGCCACCCAATCTGTCCTGAAGGGAGAAGAGATAGATTCATATTTTTCCAAAGAATATTAGTGCATAAGTGAATATAATATCTACTGGAATTTAAACTTGGCTCTCCAATTCCTCAGTCCAAGCCATTATCCATTACTCCACCATTTTATTTATTTATATATATATATATATACACACACACACACACACACACACACACACACACACACACACACACACACTGAAACTAGCACTTAGTGTAATTTTCAATCCAGTGTAAACATATCATAGTTAATATGAACTGTCTTGTAATATATTTTTATTGTAGTGTGTGTTTGGGGATATCATTTGACTTGATCTGTACAGAAGATTATACAATTGAAATCAAAATTGTGGCACTCTTGAGAAATTACCATCAACATCTTTATAGTAATTTATTTCCATTTTTAATAGCTATTTCCTATTTTCCCCCAAAATGGGGCAGCACGGCCAGGCAACAATGCTATAACAATGCAGCAGTAGAAATGTTAAAGATGAAAATATCCTTGTTAACAAATGCCACCTGGGTAAAACAGTTTCCTCTTTTTATGTTTCAGGTGAGTCTGCAGCCTTAGATACATTGAAGAATGCAATGAAAGCCCTTTATGACTTTCAACTCATAACATCATTCCATCCTGATGGAGACAAGGACCAGACCAAACTTATCTGCTTAAACAATGAAAACAATGTTAAACAGAGACTTTTTGACCTCATCGATTTACTTGAGCACATGAGAGAATGATTAATGTTACTATGTATTGACTTGGCTACTTTTGGCTGGAACTTTGCAGTGGCTTCTTGAAATGTATATCATCTGGACTGGCCAATGTGGGCTTTTATTTTTTTTAATTTTTTTTTTTTATTGAAAAAAAAATATATTTAAAAATGGACATGATAAATAGTTGCTCCAAAATACTCAAAGTATGTTAAATGGAATAAATGAAAACCAGTTGGATGTTTAAAATTTCTATGTTGTTGTTGACATTTCACTCCTTACAACAAGGAAACAATTATCTTAAACGTCAACTGGTTTTTATTTATTCCATCTTAAGCACATGGACATGTGCATTTAAAAAAAAAATGCATGTTTTGAAATGTATATTTAAAAATAATACACATTCTAAATATATATTTTGAAAAATATATACATGTTTATTAAATGTATATTTAAAAATGGCACATGTTTAATAAAATGTATATTTAAATATAGGCACATATTGCAAAATGTATATTTGATAGATGTATATTTAAAATATACTTATCTGTAAATATATATTTAAAATCATGCATATTAAAATATTTAACATAAATATGTATATATACATACATTTAACATATATCAGTATATTTGAGCTAGATATATATGATGTAAATGTTTAAAAAAAAATTTAAGGTGCTGATTTTGATTTGGTGACAAGATTTTGGAATTTCTTTCTTCTTGAAATTTAAATATGAAATCACTCTGTCTTTAAATAAACGTTCAACAAAAATGGCAAAAGCGCTGGACCAACAACACGAATAATAAACTTCTCACAATCAAACCATTCCTAGATGAATGAAAAAAAAAATGTCTAGAAAAGGAAGAAAAGACAAAATAACTCCAGCTTGACTATACAAAGGTCACACCCATACCTCCCCTGTTCATACTTGCTAAAGAATGAAGATCAACGAAGATGTACAACATGCCAAGCTGCTCTCATGATGAAACACATTTTAATTGAATGTACTCCCTTAGCCCATTTAAGACACAAATGCTACAAGGAAATCAACATAAGAAAACTATTTGAAAATACTGAAACTATCAACATAATGTCCTACCTTAAAGAAATGGGTTTATACCAAAACATATAACATCTACAATAGATCATCTACAAACTAATCTATAAAACCTACATTTACCCTAAAAGTATAAAAATATGGACAAAATATCTGTAATTGAAGGCATAACATTGCTTACAAAATATTCAGAGTTCCATATTGAATAATACATAGAGGTTGGTATGGCGCTAAACTAAACACCCAAACCAAATCCTTTCGAATTTAGGTGATTTCTAAGAGGAAAGAAAACCACTATAGGAGGGAAATACCTAATCAGTGAGCAAGGTGGAAATCTTGAAGATTGTTTGAAAACAAGGAATTAAAGTGTGCGTGTTCAAAAAAGCCTGTAGATGCAATAGATTTTTGTGTATGTGTGTGTGGAGAATTTGTATTTAAAATTTTGTTTTAACTTAAGCATTTTGTTTTTTTTTTTTTGTTTTTTGTTTTTTTTGTTTTTTTTTTTTCCTACCCTTGACCAACCTAAAAAAATTTTTATGCCATTATGAATTCTTTTTCTCATTCTCATCACTTTTTGAAATGTATCGATTGGCATTCAGACATTTCTATTCAGTTCATGGTAACTTGGATTGTGTATATATTTCTTTCTTCTTCCAAATATGCAACAGATTATAAATATTAGAGAAAACTAGAGCTGGTAATTTATCTTTTTATTGTATAAAAAAAAAAACAACTTGTATTCATGATCATTTAGTAATTTTTTTTTTTTTTTTTTTTTTTATAATATAAGGAACTAGAACTCGAATTGTAAAATAGCAGTTTTTTTTTTTTTTTTTTTTTTTTTTTTTTATCTCTGAGAATTTTTTTCCCCCAGATTCTTTAAAGTTACAATCTTAAAATTTTAAAGAGAAATTAAAAAGTAAGGAAAAGTGTACCGCATTTAGTGGGGTGTGTGTGTGTGTGGGGGGGTTGTCATCATTTTTATTTAGACATGTAAGCATTGGCTGCTGCTTTTTTTTTTAGCCTTATCATGATTAAATGTACTTAGGCTTTAACTTTTATTTTCACTTCAAAACTATATTTTAAAATTTCATTCACTTAGATTGAAGTTTGTTTCCAATTTGTCAGCCGTAATTGATTTATTTATTTTTAATAACTGATCTATTTCTGTCTGAATTTTAGTGATGAGAAATTACCATTATTTACATTCAGGCTGATGTCCTTATCTATCTTGTTATCACAACATTTCGGCCATTGTGCCCTCTGACCTTCAAGGTGTCTATCAATCCAGATAACCTTTGAGGAATTTCAAACTGAACCCTATATTTAATCTGTAGTAGTATATTGTTCTCATTACACTGACCATATCTAAAGAACAAGATGAGATCTCTAGACATGGACATCAGAACAAGAACAATCAACCCACTGTAGGTTAAATAAAGTGTTCAGTTCAAAGAAAAATATCTGGTTTGACTGATACCTGAAGAAGACCAACCGAAACAATGGCAGCAATGTTATAATAACAAAAATAAGGATGTTCAAATTGGTCAATTCATTTTTTTTTTTTTATTTGAATGAAATAAAGTAAAAAATGTTTCATATTTCATTTGTCTAAGATTTATTTTAAGTACATATTCTTTTATTTTGTAGTTAAAACATCATTTATTTTTTATTTTTAGCTATTAAAATTTCATCATTGCTTTATCTTCATCTATTTCGATTTTCAGGTTATTTTTAATTCTCTTCCTAGAAGTGTTTTGATGTTTTTCACAAGTTATTTTAATTCCATGTTTTAAAAATAAGTATTTTTAGTCACTTTATTTTTTTTTAATATATTGAAACCTAATATACTTATGTAGAATTAGGGTGGCCGATTTTTAAACCAGGCTATTGGACAGGTCTAGAGATTTGGAGCATGATATCATAAAACCACACACAAAATATTTTACATTAAAATTTCAATTCCTTTTGAGGAAATGAAATTAAAATCAAATTAATTAATATTTTGGAGATTGTTGTGGTGTTAACTGTGATAAATAACCAGGCCGGAATATTCCATTTTATGAAATAAAGTGAATATAAATCAATTTAAAACTGAGGTTTAATATTTCTTTAAAATACTGGAAAAAAATAAACATAATTTTTATAAAAAAAATAACATGTTTTATAAAATTTGCTTTAAAATAAATTATGTGTAGTTAAAAGAAAAAATGCAATATTGATGTATTCAAATCACAGGTTATATACTGAAATTGACTTGGTCAGGTGTGAATGAGAGTGGGTTGTAGAAATGCTTATTAACAAAAAAAAAAAACTTTATCTTAACCTTTTTATAGTTACAGTGGTCATGTGACGGTGTTACCGTAACTTATATAAAAGAAGTGGATATCTTTCTTTTTTTCCCCTCTCTTCTTTTTCCCCTCTCTTCTTTTTCCCCTCTCTTCTTTTTTCCCCCTCTCTTCTTTTTTCCCCCTCTCTTCTTTTTCCCCTTTTCTCAATGGATTATCTTCCTGGTTATCAGACCATCATGCGTCACAGAAAGGGAATTATTTTTTTGCAACATAAGTGCTATTGCATCCTTTCCACAGCCTGACCAGTCTCTTTTCATATTGCGTGATTTATTGAAAGTTAAGATCAATTAAAAACTATATTTTTTAGGGTTTTTTTTTTTTTTTTTTTTCTGAAAGAATTTTTTTCAAAATAAATTCACTAAGCAATAGTTTTATTCTGGATAAAAAACAAGACAAAAAAAAAAAACATCAGTTTCACTTTTTAATTTTAATGAACCACATTTAAATTTCATGGGTGATTATTTGTCTTTACACAGTTACATCAGTGTGCGTTTTATTTTTATTTACATAGGAAGCTTTTAAGTAATATAAGGTATAAAAAAAAAGATATTAATTGCAAATTTTTTAAGTAAAATATAAATTGACAGTGTAGTTTTATTTCCTAAAGTAATATTTTTTTCCAAATGTTTTATTAAAATGTCTGATAAAAAAAAAAGCAAAATAGAGGAAATACTTTCTGATCTTTTCTCTTGCTAAGCTTTTCACTTGGATTTACAGGCTATGGGCCTTTTTAATACAGGTTTTGATTTTATAAACATTATAATTGATAAGTCAAATATAGATAGAGAAAAGCTTAAAATAAAAGTAATGACACATGAAATGCACACTGAATGTATTAAAAAACTTGTCTGCTTCAGAGGAGTTGATGGCAAGTTTAATAAAGAAACTTTGTTGTATAAAGAATTAAAGAAGTTATAGAGGGAAATGGTGATATTAAAAGAAGATTTAACATTTACTTAAGAGAGGAACTGAGAATGGAAAGTAAATACCTGACTGATAGAGTATTTCCAACGACACATGCCACTGGTGTTCTAGCAGAAGCTTTTAGTGTTTTAGAAGGATTTAATAGTATAGAGAGCCTTTTGGGAGATCATTGAAGTACCTTTTTAGGTTTGGGAAATATCTAAATCTACATTCCTCTTAAAAACTTTTAATTTCATTTGAAAAGATTTTATATAACCAAACATGTCATCAAGTGTCTTACCAGAGCTCTGTAATTTAATATTCAAGTCATTTAAATGTTCACAAAGATCTGCAAAAAAACATCAGTTTACAAACCTACATGATGTCGGACAATTCTTGGTCATTCAAAAACTTTATCCCATCTAAGCATTCAACAAATGATTTCAGAACCAAACTTTGGCTAAGTCAATGAACATTGTTGTTCATTTTAGGCCTTTATATACAGATTTTACTTCATTCATTAAAATTTGAAATTGTCTTTATCTTGGTTAGGGTCGTCTTAACAGGATTATGGGCCTCTGGCCAAACCAGTGTTCTGGAACCACTACGACAGCCACTCTCAGGAATAAAAAGTAAACATATTTTATTGGCACTTCAACAAAACTGGTATTAAAACATTCTATACAGCAGCAACTAATCAACATTATAAACA